ATTAGATTTAGCATTAGATTTAGATTTTCATTTACGAACATAGTATCTTTGAAGAAAAGTCTTCAACGATCATTACAGGCGCTAAATTTATTATTATACAAAAACGACTGATAAAAACATCTCGTGTCGTTCTCTCCAAAACTGCAGTAAATTTTAAAGATATCTGAAAAAAATAATTATTGAATAAAATTATAAAAAATAGTAAGCATGAATACAAATTGTCAGTATTTATAAATCATCTCTTCATCCGCAGCTTCATCACTTAAAAATAACAGCGAATCATAAACCCACTAACATCATCAAAAATAAAATTTTCTATCAATTAAACATTATATTACATATAAAGGCCTATCCTAATTCTTATTTTAAACTAAACTAAACTTAATTGAATTAAATAGACCATCAAGGTTTTCCTTGGATCTTTAATTCACTTTCATCTCAATTAAATTTCATTTCGTTAATTTATATCATGATCATCAAGGCTTATCCTTGGATCAAATAGAACAATTTTGTTCTCCCCCCTCCACAATTAATAATGTGTCTAACGACCTCAAACGTAGACTCACTACCCAAACCTTCCTCAAGACCCAGGACTATTAGAAATTTTTCAATCGAGTTAACCATTCTAATTATGATAGACAGTGAAGAACTTCGGTTATTCATCCTTCATTTGATCCCCCCTCTTACCTCACTTAATAAGTTTAAAGTAGTATCTAACGAATTACTTTTGTTCTAATTATACCTGAACCTTGTAGAATGATCTACTATTCTACAAAACTTGAACACAATCACTTCCTCTAAGTAAGAATAAATAAGTCACGAGAAGGTAAAAATCATTCCCCGGAATCGATATATGCTTTTCTCTCCAACCCCGAATACACGACCCAAGTTAGGCTAACCACAAAAAATCGTAAGGACTAACAGTTTAGGACATTAAAAATCCTTAATCACAATTTTGCATCTGTCATCCTAAATCGTATGTCACTAGACAATTTGGGAAATGAACAAACAATCGTATTACACAATTGTGAAATAAACAACGAAAAATATGATCTCATAATCACTCCACACAAACAAACAATAGGATATGTATTCGAACAAAACGACAAACAAATAAGAGGAAAATATAAAGCAAACAAAGACAAATTACACACAAAAAAAAGATTTTCAAAGCGAAGAAACCAGTATTTTAAAAGAACTTTACAAGCTAAAAGACTCCGTAAAAAAATTACCAAGTTAATGATCAATTATGTTTTTTTTTTTACTCAGAATGAACATCCAAGCATCAATACAAGGCGAACGAAGATTAAAAAAGACATACAAAAACAAACCAAAACGTCTATACAATTGGAATCAACCAATAAAACACATTGAACATTACGTATCAACAGTCAAAAAACACAAAAATGAACCAATGTGAAGAAAGTCAAGACAAAAACTCCGTTCTTCCAATTCTTATCAACTCACTCACTGATGATAGAGGACAAACACTATTTTGTCGAAATTTAATCGCAAAATTTTTCGAAAGAGGAATGAGTCAATGTACAACAGAATTTCCAGAATTAAAAATCAAAACACAAATTATTGCTCATTACTTATGAAATTTATTGTTTAAACCTGGTCAAAATTTCACAAATATGGTGTTTTCAAGTCCAAAGAGCTAACAAATGCATTTGTTTTTGCTAACAAACGCATCTTCTGGGCTTAATACATGATAAATCCCCACAAAGTTGCTTCTTCGAGTTAAACTGACACTCAAATTAGGCAAGGGTTTTTTTCAGAAAAAGTAAACTATTTCCAATGCAGGGCACAAACACTTTGTAGCTGCGCATGTAGGCACTATCTTCTTAATCTGATTTTTTCGATTGAACTGATAATCTCAGTCGTGGTTTGACCTTTCAGATACGTAGCCAAAACAAATTTGGAAAAAAAACCAATGAACCCAAGTAAACCAGAAAAAATTACTGGAATATTGCTTTGATTCAACTTTCTTTCGAACGTAGCAATAACTCAGGGCCCTTCATGCTCTTTGAATTTCATTTTTTGATTTACTTTTTCTTGACTACACAAACCCAATTTAAGAAAACTGATAATCTTAGTTGTGAACTGGTAATTTCAGACGAGGTGTCGACATTCCAAGAACATAACCAAAAGGTAGTTGGAAGAAGCCAATAAACGCAAGCAAAACCGACAGTAACAATGACCTAAAAACACTCAACTATTGAATTTGACAAAACAAATAGATGGCCATAAAATTCTAGAACGGTTTATGACAATGTTTTGAGTTTTGATATAACTAACATACTTTGAGAAGACTGGTTCAATATTTAACAAATTTATTTTTCTGGGATTCTGCAAAATGAAATTCTTATCAAAAGTAGAAGATGCTTATGTTTATCGTTCGTGCTCTTGACACTTTAGCTGTTTGACAATGTAACTTGCCTTACTTCAATACAGAGAAGTAGCTTTTCGCATACGCAAACAAAATAATGACCAACAGCGCTACTGGGATAAACTGATTGAGTTCAGCGTTGATTCTACTGAATTTTTTAAGTGACGCAAGCCATGTATAACGCCTTAGCAGTTCGGGCTGAAGTAAAAAAAAACCAATTAACATGCCTCAGTACTTAATATCTGGTTATTGATCAAAGTGAACACTATCACTTGCGAGCTAGGTTAGAAAAAAGATAATTCTCTTCATCAAATAAGATTCGCTTGTATTAACAAAGAAATTAAATTTAGAAAAAATCGTGAGTGAAATCGCGAACAATTAAAGACTGAAGAAATGCTATGACTTTTCCAGAAAAAAAATGAAAACAAAAAAAGACTTTAAAGCATATAAAAGAATCTGAGTTATTTTCAGCGACTCTCGAAAAAAAAACTCTGATGATTTAAGGTGAGAAATCTTCCTCTCACGTTTTTTTAAGATTCGAAATGTATGGTAGGCATTCAGTGGGTCCATTTAACCCTGGCTTGCCCTCGCTTAATACTAAATTGTTTTTGACGTTCATGACTTTATAAATCTTTGTTGTTCTGCTTCTTCTTTTTATTATTTTTTATCATTGTTATAAGAAGTATGTTTTATACAAATTTAAAGACAATTTAAATATTTGTCAAAAAACAGATGTTGCAAATGGAGCCCTTAGAGCATATTGTCGCTCAGTTTGTGTTGACATAGACACATTTGATGATTGTGTTTCTCGTGAATGTATTTGTGGCTGAGATATAGAAGTAGCGCTGGGTAACTGAGAAACGAGAGGCGGCTTCTCCTGCTGGAAGCCCTGTAGCAACTGACTGCCCAGTTTTGCCCGTCTGTGACCATATGGCCTCTCTGGGTAGGGTGCCCCGTGGCCCTCTGGCTTCCAGAAGTAGGAGTCCATGGTGATCGAGTGCTGTCTCTTCTCTTGCATGTCTCGCTCTCTCTGCCGGTAATCGATCGAGTCTTTCTCCTCCACCTGACTGGTCAAATAGTCATGGTACTTTTTAGCCTCCAATGGGTTCGGGTGTCGCACATCTAGCTTGTGTCGTGAAATGTCCGACAGATTCCTAGGATCCGCAACAACTTCTCCGCTGGCGCTTCTCTTCGGGTAGCCGGATGCGTCCAGCTGTCTTATTTTCTCGGCTAAGTCCAGAGCTGACTCTCGTTTCTGTTGCAGCTGTATCTGCTGCTTCTGTCTCTCGTGAGCTACCATATTAGCTTTTAAATCTTGCAAGTAGTTTCTCTTGTTCGCCTCAAGTCGACTGTCTCTGTTCTTCTCCCAGTCCAGATTGTAGAAATCAGTCTTGAATTTGCCGGCTACTTTGGCATTCACTTCCCCTGTTCCCTGGTACAGAGGCGCTCCTGCTCCAGGCCTTCCCCATGGACTGAACACTTCACTGGTCTGACGCTGTCGCGGAGTTCGTTTAGTGTCCTGTAGAAACAGGTGTTCTTCTTTCCTGTCTCTCATTTCGTCCTTAACTTCTGCCCCGATCGGCAGCAACCCCAGTCGGGGATCTTCGGTGCCATACTGGCGGTGCTGCTCTGTGCCCTCCGGAATACGCCACTTGTCCCCTGGTCTCGTGTAGGACTGCAAGTCATAGTGTCTCACCACTGATCTGTCCGTGTACACTGGTTCTGTCTTCCGGTATCCCTGGTGCAGGTCCACACCAGTGTACGTGTCCAGTCCTCGCATCGTGGGAGGAGCTCCGGCCCCAGTCTGTCCGAAGTAGTCCACCCTCTTGTGCATTGCATTCATCACCTCCTCACGCTCCTTTTCCAACTGTTTTTGACGCTGCTTCTCCTTTACCGCCTCGTCCAGTTCTTTGATGTACTCGTTTGTGTGTGAAATGTCTGCTATGTACCTGAATGCCTTCTCGTTAATGATGCTTCCGTCCTTGTGTGGCTGGAATCTGGTCTCTGGGTCCGACTTGAGGTTCGTGATCTTGTTTCCTTCCTCGTCCCTCAGAGGAGCGCCCCCACCCGAGGTTCCAAAGGTGGGGTAAAAGGGTCTGTTGGCCTCTGTCTCCAGAGAGCGTCTGTCCTGTGTGTCGCGCCAGTTTCTCTCTGTGCGCGAGTAGTTCGGGTGCAGATTCAGTCTCTCGGGGGGACTGCCGGGGGGTCTGTGCTGTCCCTTCTCGTACATGGGGTAGCTCTTGAACCTGTCCTGCACTGTCTGCTGGTACAGCTCCTGCTCCTCCTGAGAGAGAGTGTTAGAAGTGTTCTGCAGCTGAGCAGTCGACTGACTATCCCTCTCCACTCTCTTCAGCGAATCCTCAAGAGAGAAGTTGTCGATGTTCTTCCGCAGAGTCTTCGAATACTCTGCCGAACTGCGCTCGCCCATGTTTAAATAAAAATTAACGCTAATATATGCAAAAGCTTCAAAAAATACTGTGCGTAAATAACTTTGAAACAGCTTTTCGTTTGAATTTTGGTTAAATGTTTGTTGGTCGTTAAGAACAGTTTTGCAGTAGACTACTCGTTATATTCAAAATCCAGCTCAAATAGCTTGACAAAAAAGCAGTAAAAAGAACGTGTTCTCTTGCATCAATCGCACTTAAAGAAATAAATGAACAACATATAACTAAAGCGTAGACTCAGTTATTATAACAAATCAACAGTATTTCTTCAAAAATAAGGAGTTTGATCAAATTAAATTAGCAACATCGTCTGCATTTCCAACTGCCATTTTCCATATAATTGCCCACAAAAATAAGCACAAGTAGGTTGTTTGAAAACACTTAAATTATGAGAGCAAAGAAATTGGCAGGGACAAGATTATTCATAAATCAGGGTGGCCACGGTATCCAAAAATCGCTGGCACTGATAAAAATGAACCCCTGGCACAAATATTTTTCGCTTTTTCCCTCTTTTTGACACAACTTGAAGCACAAATAAAACCAGTTAACATGTCGAAAATTATTTTGTGAGAACGTTTCAGAAATAAAATTCTCAGAAGAATGTTTTACAAATCATATCAGCATAACTTAGATTCAAATTTATATCGTTCGAAGCTTTTGATAATTTTGTGAACAAATGCGACAAAGAATTTTTGGCACTGATAATAAATTGCTGGCACTGATGTGGCACTGACCGCACCGATACCATGGCCCCCCTGTAAAAACTTTATGTAGTTCATGAACATGTGCGAAATATTGAACTTACAAATTGACGTAAGTTCGTTAAGAGGTCAAATTAAGTTTGTTCTCACTGAAATGAAGCGTCATTGCGCGTGAGATATTGACAACATCACATAGTTGAATGTTAGATTAAAACTTCTACTCACACACAAAGGCAAAATTGTCCAGACAAGGATTGTCTAGAGATAGCGCAAAATATATTGAGAAACTAGAGTGTAGATAGGAATTAACAATTTTCCTCTCGAAACGAATTTAAAAGGAATTACTCCAACACTCATCAACAGTAAAAACACGGAGACTTAAAACACTACACTGCAACATGGCCGCATCCTTTTCAATCGAACGAAGTTTCATGAGTTTCAGCTTCATTTTTGAAAAGTTCAATTTCAGTTCAGTCTATATTTTATGTTCAGCCAATTTCGTGATTTCCTAGCCACTGTTTGAGTGGCCTTCACTGTTGTTCACTGTAACAGCCTGTATGATGTTGGCTGATGAGGGCGACACCACTTGGTCATTGCGCACCTGTTGTGTGGAGGAGGCGGCGGCGGGGGGACAGGCCAGAGTCACATTAGTAGACTGCACTGCTCCCCCAGCTGCATTTGTCCCCGATCCTCCACCAGTGCTGCCGGCCGGACCCACACCACTGGCACTCGCTGTGCTACTACTGACGTTCACAGCAGACGCAGCAGCTGCAGAGTGCGGGAGACTAAGGGTACCGCCGGAGGGAATCCCAGATCCCCCCTGAGACGGGACGACTGCTGGTCCCCCACCACCCCCCTCCTTCCTCTGCATGCAACTCTTGGCCACCGAGTCAAACAGTCTGAAAGCAAACGAAAAATACGCAATTAAACGATAGCCAACAGACAGTCGGAAAAGAGTCATTGAATGCAAGTAAAAAAAAATACTGACTTGTTTTCCAAAAAACATTAACTTTTGAAATTCAAAGAAAACATTGACTGTCCTTAAAGCTCTTTGAATTTCTAGAATAATTAATTATTCACACTTTTTTAAAAAATAACCCAACTTGATAACACTGGATTTATGGATAAACTTTTTACTCCGCTGGGAAATCTGAAAATCTATTTCCACTTTCGAAAAGAAACTAGAAGTCGATCAGGTTTTTCGTGACCTTTTTACTTTTGCTGTACGATAGCCGAGTTTGCCTTCATTTTAACAGAGGAAATGAGCTGAACTTGAGATTAAATCAAAAGTCAAATCCGAAAAAGCTGATTTCAGCATGAACAAGCTTCGCGGCTTTTTCCTGAAAAAAAATCATCACGACCTATATTAAGAGTTTGAACTACGTTCATCGACTTTCGTTGAAAACTTTTAAAACCAATTAACAAAAAAAAGCAAGAGCTCCGCTACGTCTCGCATTCGATCCTGCGACCTAGAGATTATGAGTTGCAAGCACTAGCCACTCAGACACTGGAAGATTAACAAATCGCATACACTAGCCACAAAAAACAGATGCTATCAAATATCCAACGCTACAGATCGTGACTATAGCAAAATTGCCACCAAACGAGCGTTTTAATTTGCGAGTTGGGTGGAAAGAACAATTTTCGTACTGTTACACTATTCCCGCAAGTTCTATAGTGTAAATTTGACGAGTATCTGATAAGCAGACATGGTTAAACACAGAGGCGAAGTTGTACTTCGCATACACAAGCAAAAATATGACCAGTAACTCTACTGGGGAAAACTGAATGAGTAAGACTTTGAGATTACAAAATTTCTTGAGAGACGCATGCTAATTATGAGTCAACATAATTGCTAAGTGACGCAAGCAAATTATGACGCATTAGCAGTACCAGTAAATTTGAAAAAAAAAAAAATTTACCGAGTAACATGCCTCAATTTATAGATCAGACGCATTTTAACTAGAATACGAAAAAGTTCAATGAAACATCCGACCCTGACCAGGTTCGAACCCTCTTGTTTTGCTGCTGGTCTCCTTATCTACCTCTACGCTACAGATCCATCATGCCTTGAAGCTGAAGTGCTATAAGTAATATAATAGTCTGTGTTATTATCTTTAGCATTGGCTGTACTTACGAAATGATCACATTTTGTCGCAACAATATTCGCGACTTAGGTAAATAGGCTTGCTTGTAAAAATATATTTATTGGTTGACGAAAGTGCTACTTCGAGAATATGATTCAGTTGGACAAGTTAATTACAGGAAAAAATATATAATCCAGAGTGATAACGTTGGAAAAGAGTGATGAACTCAAAAACAACTGATTTTTTTTTGAAAAAATCCCTAGCTTCGAATATCGGAGAAAAAAATAGACGTCCCTAAACCTCTTCGAATTTCTTAGAACAATTAACAATTTTTCATAAAAATAAATCAATTTGAGCAAACTGGATCAATAGGTAACTATCTTATATCACTGGGAAATCTGGCAATCAAATTCCACTTTCGAAACTGGAAGTCGATCACATCGTTTTTCGTGACCTTGACACTTATGCTTTTCGATAGCGGAATTTGCCTTCCTTATAACAAAAAAATGAACTGAACTTACAAAGAAATCAGAAGTCAAACCGCGGAAAAGTAAATTTGAGCCTGAAAAACAAAGAAAAATGCATCGCGACATATATAAGAGTAAGAACTGCTTTTATTGACTCCTAAAAAACAGTAAATGTAGTTCCACAAAAAACAGGTCCTGGCCGGATTCAAACCAGAACTCGGATTCATCGTCTCAAGTAACAGTTACCTCTACCGCAGATGTGTTGTATGGTTGATTGAAATTATCATGAAGCAAGTTGGGAAAAAGTTGTTAACGGGACAAATGTCCAGTACCCGGTTGCAACACCCTTAATCGCAATGGTAAATAAATGTTTTAATACTGCCTTCTGTAGTTATAAGAGCATTTGGAGACTTTGTGAAAAAAAAAACAATCATCACGACCTATAAGTGAAAATAAAATCACTTCGTTAGTTTACAATTAATCATTTAAGACTCTTCAACTTCCTGAGCACTTGATTTATTCATCTTATTTCAATCCAGTGCTAACTCACTTTTCAATTTCGGGGGCGCAGCGAACGAACTCGTGCTGCCAGAACTTGAAGTTGGGGTTGTTGATGAGTTCTATGAATGTGATGAGGAGACCCCAGGGGTGTGGTCTGTTCACGATCACTCTCTCCAGCAGAACACGCGTGATCTGCTCCTGAATGTGTTCCGAGTGGGCCTCTGCGAAAAGGTAGAGCAGCACACAGCTGAAGTAGTGGGTGTGGTTGTTCGGGTAGCGCAGATGGTTGGCAATCGCATTGAGAAACAGGTAGCGACCTTAAAACACACACACAACTGAGTTACTCTCATACTCTCAGTCACTCATACCCAAGAAAGAAAGAGAGATGAGAGAGTACCTTCGGTGTCCAGAGATACTGCCAGGTGTTGGTACACATCCATGTGTGGGGAGTACTGGATGGCGTTGATCTGTGGCATCTTGCCCGCAGACTGGATCACAGTGATGGCAGACACGCCCACGTACAACACCACTGCATTCATCAGCTGCACATTGTACCTGCACAACACAGCACATTGCAACATCACACATCAATACACAACACAAATGAATTCAAACTCTAAATTATTTTTAACTCTTTACCCGACCAAATCATTCATTTTATCTCTAGCTAGTTACAAGTTCGCTTATGCTACTTTCGTAACTTTCAGCAGATGAATTTGAATTGAACTCAAAAAGAGCAGATATACTAAAGCATTAAAAATGCTTTAATATGTATAAATGCATATCTGAAGTTATTAAAGCATTCAACGCTTTTTTCTGAGCAACTTAGAGTCTCACGTTCTCGCCTCTACTCAACGTGCCCTTAAAATATTGCTAACACAAGCCGCCAATGATTCAGCTATAGATAATAAATTGCCGATGCTAAGCAGCAAAAATGCCACGAAATATGAAAAAAAAACTACTGCTACCTCCGGTGTTGAACCTCCGACCAGTAGATTAGGAGTCAAATACTAGCCACGAATAAAGTAGAGGAACTTCCAATGCTACCGATTCTGATTATAGCAAAAGTGTCACTAAATGAAAGCTTTTATTTGGGAGGTTAGATTGGAAAAAAGTAGAGTCATACTAATACAAGTAATTTTTTTGATTTCGCTGGGAAATCTGAAAATTATATTACACTTTCGAAACCAGAAGACCATCACGTCTTGCGTGATCTTTACACTTTTAATATTCAACAAAGGAGTTTGCCTTCCGTTTAACAAAATAATCAATTGATATTTTAAAAAAAATCTAAATCGAACAGCAAAAAAATAGAGCGTGAACACATTTTAAAACATTTCCTGAAAAAATCATCACGACTCAAATAAAGAGTCTTCACTACGTTCATCGACTCTCGATCAATTTACGAAATTAGAGCAATTTATCAATGACATCAGTTTTCTGTCTCTTGACATACCGCATGCCTGGTTCAGAGGACACCTGCAGGTCATTCCTCAGTTTGCTCAGGAACTCTACGGGAGAACGACTCTTCAGGTAGAGGTCAAGGTCTTTCCGCAGTGCACTGGGGATGCCGGCGGCAAAGTTGTGCAGGATGCGCGGCGCATATTTGATGTCCGACAGTTGATCCACCTGCAAAACACGACAACACAAGGCAGTCAGTTAATCAACCATCAATACAAAATATAGATACTTTATACTAGGTCTATGTTTGCATCGGTAGATTACACAAAGGTCAACCTTTTAAGGCTCAAATTTGTTTCAACTGTGCTAACAGATAACTAAAAATGATACATCAAGTGTCGAGTGTTCAGTTTGTACTTTTACAGAGTAGTGAAGTGTTGACTAGCCTTGAGGTCTGGCGTGAATGGGTCGGGGAGCCGCATGTGTCTGGGGAATGCGGACAGGATGAGGTTGCGCATCTGGATGCAGTTGGGTGGGATGACGTCAGCAAAGACGTAGTGATGGTCACAGAGGAACTCTGGGAAGTCATGCAGCAGCACCAGCAGCACCCGAAGTGTCCCCTGTTGTGCAACAAGGCCAAACATAGGAACACTCATTGGAGACTTTCACTCGTTTGACTCCTATTGGAGTAAAAAAACAACACACACTATCGGCCTTTCTTGTCCGACTAAAGCATGTCCTGAGATCTTCAGTTTAACAGAAGAAAGAAATCTGGTTACGAATACCTTGTAGAGCAGCTGCACTGGCTTAGTTAGCTCAGCATTGCGCAGAAAGGGAGCGAGGAAGCGGAACTGGTCTATGAGCAGCTGAGCATACATGGCCCACGCCTTCTGCTGGGGAGTGAGGTGCAACATCCTGGCGATGAAGATTCTGTTGCTGATCAGTTCCAGCCAAGCATAGGCAAAGCCAGGCGCCTTACTGGGTCGCAACACATGCAGGGCATAGCTGAACGCAGTCAGCACCTACAAAACAAACCAATAACTCTAAAAACACCTGTTAAAACTTCAAGGCTAAACACATGCTCTTGATAATATATCAAACCATATAAAGAATATTCCGAGTTCACCATTTTTTTCAGAAAAGTTTGAAATCCAAAATATCAGTAGTCTACGCAGCCCATTTTTCCCTTTTCAGTTTTGGATCACGAAACAACATTTCTACGCATTCTACGCAAAGAAGGTCCACGCATTTGAAAAACAAGCTTGAGCTGCTTAATGTACACTACATGATCTTTAGAAGTCGATCACGTTTTTCGTGACCTTTACATTTTTCTGTTCGGTAGAGGAGTTTACCTCCATTTTAACAAGGGAAATGAAGGGAGCTTGAAAAAAAAACGAAAGTCCAATTGCTACAAATTTTAAAGACTTTCCAAAAAAAAAAACTCCCAGACCCATTTAAGAATACTCAATACGTTCATTATCATTGACACTTTTTTGATGAGAGTAACTCATTTGGATCAAAATGTCACTTGGTAAAGTTAAAAAATAGCCAACAGATAGTTAGAAAAGATTCAATTTGGAACCTAATCCAAACTACATTTTATTATTTATCATTTAGACATTTAATCACTGTAAAGTATTTAATATTAACCAATCACAATCCATCTAACTAACTACCCATTTATTTGTAAGTGCTGAAAATACTTGTAATTTCAGCACCAGAGAGATTTGAATCTAACTTAGAAAATAGTTGACTCTCCCGAGTACTTCAGCAGCCGCAACAATACCAGTATACTCTAGATCTATTGAGCCTAGCAGAGACTAGTTAAACACCCTGAGACTAGTAGTAATAAGAGTAAGATTAGGATCGGTATTAGACTAAGAAGTTGCACGAATCTATCCGGCCGAAAATAAGATAGCGTGACGAGCAGACGGTGTACCCTATCCGAAATTACTCTATGAGATAAGGACTACATACTTAACTCAAATTGAACGCAAATAAACAGGAAATGAATTTTAAAGAAAAAAATAGGCCTTAAATCTCTTTGAAATTCTATAACTTTTAATGCCAGAAACTTTTTTTTTTGATTAAATTAAGCCATTTTGAGAAGACTGGAATAAAAGGTAATTTTTTATTTTGCTGGGAAATCTTATTTCGAAAGTGGATATAGTTTTTAAAAGTCCATAACGTTTTTCGGGACCTCAACACTGTTGCTCTTCAATAGCCGAAGCTTCAATTCGCGTACACAAGCAAAAATACATTCTATTCAATAGCGGAGTTTACAATAACGTTTTTCTGGACATCAACACTTTTGCTGTTCAATAGCTGAGTTTACCTTCATTTTATTGAAAAAAAAACAGAGAAGAAGCTTCAATCAATTCGAGTACACAAGCAAAAATACGGCAAAAGCGACTCAAAACAGGCAAAGAAAAAATGGAGAGTAAACAGAACTCTTGAAATACTACAAAAACTTTTATGCACCGTATTCGAAACACAGTTATAGAAATTGCGAAATTTACTTCCTCCAAGCTGCGCCATGTGCTCTTGCAGATAGTCCAACAATAGTGGCACAGCTGAAACGGGAGATAACTGTTGAAACTTTAGAAAAATTCTTACTGATAAGGAACGAAACGCATAATTTTCAAAATCTTGAAGCCGTCTTTACCGAAAACCATGAGATTTATCTACTCAAATCAGGAATTTGCAATTTATTAGAAGAAATTCCTACTGCTTTTTTTATAACATTCGCTGGGAAAACTCAAAAATCAAAATTAGACGTCGATCACGTTTTTCCTGTGCTTTACACTTTTGCTATTCGACAGAGGAATTCTCGTTCCTTGTAACAATGGAGACACACAGAACTCAAAAAAAAATCAGAAGTCAAACCGCGAAAAGTCGAAATTAAGCATACTAAACTTAAAGACTATCCTGAAAAAAAAACAAAAAAAATCATCAAGACGTAATAGAGCACCACTACGTTCGTTACTCATTTTTTTTCCTTCCCACCCACTTCACAAGAGCGTAATGTTTATGGTGTAACAAGTGGTTTTACAAGATTCAGCATGTTGTTCAAATATGCCTGCGATGGCCTAATTAGTATTTATGTCAATTTTCATAATAATCGGATAATGTTAGCAAACAATTTACTTGTAAAAATTTGCAGGAAGGATTAAGAGCCTATAACTCTTAAATAATTGCGAGATAAATTGAGTTGGAAAAATTCTGAAATCGAGTTTTATTATTGTACTCTTGTTTGAAACAAATAGCTTTTTTCGGTTCATTTCATGAAATAACAGAGGCGAAGCTGGGATTTGCAAACACATGCGAGAACACGACCAAAAAGCAGCTCTATCAAATGAAATAAGACAAAGTAGAAATACGCCTCGAAATAGTAGAAACTCGGCCACGTCTAGGATTCAAGACTGGGACCTACTGCAATCAAGAGATGTGCTAGCTAGCTAGTGTAAAGCTAGCTAGTGTAATAAATTGGAATATAATAAACTAAAGGAATCCACATTAACTTAGAATGTATAAATTGGAAAGCATGAGTACAAATTATAAGTAAGTGATGCATATCCAAAAAAATGGCATATAAATTGGGTTGGAAAATTCACGACCCATATAAGAGTCTGAACTACGTTCATCAACACTGAATCATGATTACCTGGAAGCTAATTCCGTCGAGAACTTCATCCGGCGCACAAAGCTCCATGAAGAGCATGATAAAAATTCGGTGGTAGGGCAGCTGCTGGAAGCTAGTGTTCTTCAACTCATGATCCTGCAGCAGAACGCCAGTCAACAGACCCAGCACCTGAACACAAGACAACACTAGAAAAAAACACGACATGTGCTGAATCTTTCCAGTGGGTTGGTGTGGGTGTGTTTGTGTGTGTGTGTGGGTTGATTGTAATATGAACTTGCCTTGTTGAGCAGGTTTATTTTGGTGAGTGTGTTTGCGGCGTCGCCAGAGTGTCTGACGAGGAGGGCGATGAGGCGGACGAATGCGTCCAGCGTGTGGTAGCATCTGGCCCTGGTGAGAGAGTGGTTGGGACTGTTGGTGGAGTCATTCAGAGCCCGGTAGCACACATCCACACACACTTCGGTGCAGATGCGGAAGAAGCGAGTGATGAGGTCGTCTGTCTTCAGGATGCCCTGCGTGTGCATCTGAGTCACAAATGTGGAGAATGCTTTCGTGCTGTCCTTGCCACTGTTCTGCGAGTGGTACATGGTCACCCATTCCCTCAGCAACTGATCAGTCTTCTCCTTCAGCCCAGGTGGGTCGTCGAACTCCCTGGCCTGAGAGATGCCAGAGTGCATCATCCCGATGGGTCCTCCGGGCTGTCTGTCGATCACACTGTTGTCCACACTTGCCCCAATCATCTCGATCAACCGACTCAGCTCTTCGGGGGGACTGCGGGATCCCTTTCCGATCCGGATCAACATCTCTATCGTGCCGTAAAGGTCAGCCTAGAACACACATAAGTCCAACCATTGAAAAAATACTAAAGGGCGTCTTTTCCCTCTCTTACATATTTGGCCTCGAGGAGTGCGTTCGTGGTGGCCTCATCGAACAGATATTTGTACACTAGTTTCATGGCAAATGAGACCACGGTGTAGTTGAAGCCGTTCTCCATGGCGGCCGTGAGGTACATGTCGAACTGCTGCATGTTGACCAGTCTGGTCTTGATCAAACAGTCGATGCCGTCCACACAGTACTTGTTTGGCTCCCTGCTCTCAATCAGAGCCTTTGTCACATTCTTGTTAGTCCACATGGCCCCGTACGCCCTGGGGTCCTGTAGTGCCTTCAACACGAGCAGATGACAGTCTCGGAACCGCATCACCATCTCCTGGGGGTCGGGCGGGTTCAACAGTCCTTGCAGCAGACTGTCCACAGTCTAAACACAAAACACTCAACACTTATAAAACATGAACATGTTGATGGTGTGTACATAGTGATCTGCATGAAGATGGTGTCTAGCCTTCGAAAGAAGAGAGATGGCGGCCAATATTTCACGCGAGTTTCTGGCCACTGCCACGTTTTCCAGTAGAGTCTGCATGGCGCCAAACAGTCTGGATGCAGAGTGTTGCTGGCACGCCTTCAAATGCTGCTCCAGTTCGCTCACCATTTTGCTATACATGTAGCCCAAATCATCGCTTGAGGCTGCTCCCCCTCCTGCTCCTGCGCCTCCAACTGCACTCAAGGCAGCTGTCGCGTGGTGACTAATTGCACCCAGCTAAGCAGAAACTTAAGAGTAAATACTATCTGCCTTGAAAATTATTTGCTCAGTACTATTTCTAACACAGACGCGAAGCTGTACTTAGCAAATACTAGCGTCAAAACACAAAGAAGTAGCCTTTAAGATGTTAAAAAAGAGAGAAAGGGCATGAAAATAAAAATATTAATGAGTCTTGAAAAAAAGGGGGAATCGAACCAAAAAAGGGGGGCTGGAGCAACCAATTCGACTGCCCTACACAGCAGTGCTGCTGAATATTAAGGGACCCATACACTAGTGACTGATAAATCGGAGAAGGCAGGCTACTAAACTGAAAATACTGGCTGCAAAAAGGAAACCGAAATGTGCACTATTTTTAGCGAGTTGTTTTCAAAAAACTGGACTAACAGTATAACACAGTGGTTGCAAGGTCGCTTGCGTAACACTCGCATGTGACTGATGTGCCTGTCTAATATTTTCTACCTGGGATGCCCGTGGGTCTTCAGTGGGTGCTGTTCCAGTGTGGACTGGTGGTCTGTTGGCGAATCCGGGAATCTCTCTTCCAAACTCCTCGTACACGACCAGCTGCTTGGGCGTGACTGTGCCCACCTTCATCCTCAGCTGCTCTGGCATGCGCTCTGCCTGGTAGGTGAGCACTTTGGGGTCACAGTAGCGTCTGTTCTCGTTCCTCGCGTGTCTGCGCAGATCGAACTCAGTGGACAGCTTCTTCTCTATCTCCACCAGTGCCTTCTCAATCGCACTCTTCTGCGTGAAAGCTACACACAACTCCAGATTGTCATTCGCTATCCCATGTGCAATGCTCTGCACCAACTCCGCTGCAATGCTCGCATTCTACCAAGAGGAAACAAAGACATAATTAAAAATTACATATCAACTGGCTCAACTGTTTGGATGAATGTGTGGCGTAGCCTACCCTGAGCTGTTGGAGGAATGCGTTCTTGAGGCTGTTCGTGCATGCGATCAGCAGGGGCTCTTTGCACGTGATCAGGGTCATGGTGGCTGTGAGGTGTCGGGTGATATTGAATGCACTCGTCTTCATCCGCATCTCCTCCGGGTCCAGAGCGAAGTCCTTCTTAATCATCTGCTCACACGTGATCACCGCAATCCGCACACTCCTACATCAACACAACCATACACTCAATTACAACCCCAATCTGACATATCACTCTGCTCGCTTTGAATCTGATTTGATAGGAACATGGCTGACAACAGGGCTTATGATAAATTTGTTCCACTTGAAATATTTGGGTGTCTATATACCGATCAAAGTATAATCCATTCGATGAGCAGAGTATGTAAGCCAGCGGAAAAAACGTCAAGGGAATTTGTACAAAAAGACTAGACATATGATACAACACAAACATAGCATTCCGAAATTGACAGCCCGAAATTGAGAAGGAAGCTACTAAGTTTTAAACAACCTGAAAATTTTAATAGAGCTTGCTTTCCTAAAGCTATCAAAATTTTCATAGCTTGGTGTCACTTTGTCTTGAATAAAGCTCTTATTTAAAAAAAAATGCAGCCCAAAGAAGATCATTGAAACTGAAGTTTGCATTAAAACACAACAGAAAAAAGGAAACTAAAAATTCGCAAAAATTCCGAGCAACGGGAACTGGGCAGAAAAAAATGAACAGACGAACGATAGTCCGGAAAGTATAAAGTTTCAAGCTGGCTAAAATCAAGTCCCGGCCGGATTCGAAACAAAAGCCCTGGTGCTGGATGGTTGCTTGAAACTAAGGTTCGCATCACTTGCGAAACAAAAATTAACACAGAGGTGAAGCTGCAGTTTTGCAGACACATGCGAGAAAGCGTCAAAATTAAGGAGCTTTAAAACCCACAAAACTCAAATTTTGCATTTAATAATTTGGAATGTAATAAAATAAAGGCAACCACATTAACGTTGAAAACTTTCTGAAATGGGATTTGAACTATTGTACTGTTGTAAGAAACAAACAGCTTTTTTTCGGTTCAATTGATGAATTAAAAAAGCATTAACTGAGTTAGCTTATTACTAATCAGAAGTCAAAGCACTTCTGAGAAATAAACTGCTAACACGGTCTACCGATTCAAAAGTGCCACCAAAAGTTGCACTATTATTTGCGACTTCGGGTAAAAAAAATTAAGTTGCATCGTGCTATCACACTATGCTACGCTCGTGTAATGACCACGATTGTTTTTGTCAACACACGGTTGGAAAAGATTAATGAACGCAAAGATTCAGAAAAAAAACTGTTGTTAGTTGAAAAACTTCAACTTCGAAAATTACATTGAAAATTAAATGCCCTTAAAGCTCTTTGACATTCAAGAACAACTTATGATTGGTGATAAAAAATAACCAAATTTGAGGAAACTGGATCAAAAGGTAAACTTTAAATTCCACCGTCAAGTCTGGACAATAAAATCCAATTCCGTACGTTTCCATTATACCTGTTTTTCATGACTTCTAAGGGCTTTCGAAATTAGAAGTAGATTACGTTTTTTGTGACCTTTAAACTTTAGCTGTCCGATAGTGGAGTTTGCCTTCTTTTGAAAAAATGAAATGAACTGAACTTACAAATCAAACCGCGAAAAATCAAATTCCTGAAAAAAAAACTGAGGGAGAGGGTGAGGTGGGTGTTAGTGCACCTGTCGATGAGTGGGGTGAGTAGCTCCTGCACCGTCTTCTCTATGTTGGGCTTGATGAGGTGTCTGAGGGTGGGGTGTTGGTGGAAGAGGGAGTTGGAGTAGTTGTCCCGGATCTTCCCAGTCAGCCCAGACTGGACACTCTGGTGGTTGATCTCCTGGTACGCGTACTGTGGCTGCTTCATCACCAACACCTGTTGCTGCTGCTGATGTTGTTGTTGTTGTGCACCCAGTTGTGCTGCAGACCCGGAGGCACTCTGGACTGCGGCGGCTGCTGCTAGTGCGGCACTGTGTTGCTGTTGATGATGTCTATGTTGCTGCTGTTGTTGCTGCTGCTGCAGAGCAGTGAAGTGTGCGATGGCTCTGGAGTTCAGCTGCAATTCACTGCTGCCACCCAACTGCACCACCTCTGATGAGCCAGAAACCCCCGCCGACTCGGCCGACAGAGCACCACATGGCATTCGGGGTGCCAGCTGCGGAACAATCTTGACCATCGTCTCTGTCTTGTTCAGATGACATGGCCGGTTTTTCTGCACTTCCTGTTTTTGAAGCACACAATCCAGTAATTTGCAGCCTTAGAAATTGATACAATTGGATAACTAAAAGTTTAAAACTCATTTCGTTGCGATCCAATAAGAATCATCGAACAAAAAAAAATTAAAAGAAACCTTTTAAAGCTCCGCAAAAATTCTTATTATTTCATATTCATCATATTCATTATCAGTTTTTAGAAATAGCCGAGTTTTAAAGAAAAAAAACATCTGCCCTTTAAAATCTTTAAATTTCACAAACGGTGTACAGATCTGAAGTGCAAATGATCTGATCATTTTCAGCCCAACCTTGGATATCGCTATTGTACCAAATAAACAGAATCAGTCGTTTCTTATTATTAGAATAATTCTTATCGAAGCGGGATGAAAAACGTAACTTTCAAATTTTCAAAAATTGGACTCTTCCCAAAACATTGTTGTTTCTCAACTAAAATTTCAGTTTAGCCGCTTATGAAGGTGAGATATCAATCACCCGTTCTTACAATAGACTTCAATATGAAACTTGGCAGTGTAGTAGACAGTGGACATTTCCCAAAAAGATCTCAAGTGATCTAACCCATGACCGCGAATCCACTTTTGCCGCAAAGATTCCCATAATCTGTTTTTTTTTTCGATTGAACCATTAATTTGAGAACTGGCATGGTAAGTTTAGAGAATTGTCAAAACTTTCCAGAAAACGATCAGTTCAAAATGTAACTTTTCTCCAGGCCATAACTTTTATGTCAAAAACTCAGTGGGTAGCCGCTTATGTTGGAGAACATTTCGCAACCCGTTTCTTCGATTGAACCCATCATCCTCGATAATCAAAAAGAATCAAATAGCGGTCAAAAAATTGTAAGCGAACTTTTCCGAGAGCAATAAGATTTTGTTTAAAACAATTGAGTTGAACCGCTTTTGAAAGATAAATTCCCTCAACCCCTTCAAACGATTGAACTCAAAATCTGATTTGGGAGGATAGTTTTCGAGAAAAGTCATTTTCAAAATACGGTCAAATAATTTTTAAAATGACTTTTCCGAAGGCCTTTATTTTGTGTAAAATTTTTTGGACGTAGACGCTCAAGCAGGAGAGCTTTCCACAACCCGTTCTTTCGAATGAATATGATTTCTCAGATTTGGGAGAATAGTTTTCGAAAAAATCGAAATCAAGACTTTTTCGAATGAGGGCCATAACTTTTGTGGAGAAAAACTTGATAAAATTGCTAATGCAGAGGAGCTTCCCACAGCTGGACTTGTATTTAATCCAAAATCTCAGTTTTGGAGATAAGTTTTTAAGACAAGTCAAAAAAGTTACAAAAACTGACAAAATAACAAAAAATGTTTTGTGTTTTGCTACAGCAGCCTACTGATTCAAAAAGGCCACCAAAAGAATCATTTTTATTTGCAACTGGTTTGGAGAAAAGAAAATTCGTACTAAAACACTACGCTAGCAGGTGTAAAAAATCCCAGAAAACAAAAAAAAAATGAAATTAAGGGGGGCCATAACTTTATGCTCAAAGAAAATTTAGGCGTAGCCGCTAATGCATAGAATCCTCCTTCAACTTCAACCTGTTCTTTCGATTGGATTCAAAATCTGAAATTGACAGTGTGATTTTCGATAAAAGACCAAAGTAAAAAAAAATTGATATTTCCGAGGGCCATAACTTTTTGTGCAAATCGTCGAATATAAAAATCAAGAAACCGAATCCAAAACATTTTCATTATACCTGTTCTTAGCAAACTGGAGTTCAACTAAACTATCAAAAACGCCACGGACCTCTTTCGTCCAAGCAGATGAATCTGCGCCAAACGGACAAAATTGATATGCTAAGAGTGGATGTTTGCTGTGCAAGTACCACAGAAAATTCCAACCACATAAAATAAAAACTACTGTGATTTTTTTATCTTAGCGGTTGTCTTATTTGTGAGTGGTGTGATGAAAGGAACAAAAGAGAAGCATTCATTATAGTTAAATAAGTCATATTCTACTATGATTTTCTTCGAGAAATGAAAAAAGCTCAAAAAAATCGATGTTGAAAAAAAATTCTATTGTCAAAGAAAAGCAAAATGCAGCTTCAAAAGACGTATTTACGGCTTAAAAATTAGACTAGAAGCATTGAATTCAAACCCGATTTATTCAACACAGAACAAATTTTTCACAAGAATTATAATGCCGACCGATCTAGGAAGGAAAAGATTTTCATTTGATACACCAATCAACCATTCTGATATTTTTGTGTTACCCGATAATTTTTGAAAAGAAAATAATTATTATAGCCGATGCGCATTTGGTAAGGACTTAATCAGTAAAAAGAAACAGAAGAAAAAAGTGGCTGTTTCTGAAAAAAACTTCTTTTTCGAAAATCATAGTACGAAATATTTGGAGGTTAAAGCTCTTGAAGAAAAATTCATGATTGAAAATTTTTTGATAAAACTAATACGCTTTAGGAAAACAGGACCGATAGGTAATTATTCTGCTGGAAAGTCTGAAATAAAAAATCCATGATCTTAACATTTCAGCAGTTTGATGACAAAAAAAGTACTTTTGAGCTGTGACAAAAACTAAATGCCAATCGGTCATACTGATATTTATTTGTTTACCTTCTTTTTCGTGAAAAAAAAGCATTAACAATATCACCGACGGGCAGTTGGAAAGGAGTCAAAAAGCGCATTGAAACAGAACAAATTTTTTCGAGAATCTTACTAAGAAATATTTGGCCTTAAAGCTCTTCAAGAACAATTTATGGTTGACATTTTTTAAAGTCAAACCGCGAAAATCAATTTTGAGCAAAAAAAATGTAAGACTTGAAAAGAATAATCACGACCTCTATTTTGAAAAACGCCAACGAAAACTAGTGCCCTTTGCCTGAATAGTTAGTTAACAGCAATACTTAGTAAATATATACTTGGAAGGATTGCTGTTAACTTCACAAAAATCGTCACAGAAGCGAAGCAAACTCTAGCGAGAACACAAACAGGCAGATCTATAAGGTGAAAAAAAGCATCGAAATTTGAAGAATAAAATAGACGACTTTAAACTTCATTGAATTTCTAGAATAATTTATTGACATTTTTTTTCATGAAATTAACCCAATTTCAAACTGCATCAAAACGTAGACATTTTATTTCACTGGGAAATCTGATAATTAAATTCCACTTTCGAAACTGAAAGTCGATCTCGTTTTTCGTGACCTTTACACTTCAGCTGTTCGATAGTGGAGTTTGACTTAACTTTAACAATGGAAAAGCACTGAGCTTAAAATCAAATCAGAAATCAAGCCGCAAAAAAATCAAAACTAAGCGAGAACAATTTTTAGACTTTTTCCTGAAAAAAAAAACAACAAAATCACCAAGACCTATACAAGAGTCTTCACTGCGTTCATTACTCTTTAAAAAATAACAGAAAACAACAAACCATACCCAAACGGCAGCCCGAAAGGTTTCAAGAACTCAAGACGCAGAAACAAGATCGATGAGGAGTGCAGTTTAAGTCGATTTGAGACCAAACATTGCCAAGGAACACAAGGAAATAGAAAAAAAACAGACTAGTTTTTTTTTAATATAGTTTCGAATTTCAAAGAAAAAATATATGCCTCTAAATCCCTTTGATTTACAATAAGATTTATGATAAACACTTTTGTTTTTCTGATAAAATCAACCCAAATTGAGAAAACTCGATCAATAGATAAAAATTTTAAATTTCGAAACTAGAAGTCGATCACGTTTTTCGTGACTTTTACAAATTTGCTGTTCGATAGTGGAGTTTGCCCTCCTTTAAGAATACAAATGCACTGTCCTTGAAAAGAAATCACAAGTCAAACCGCGAAACATCAAAATTGAGCGTAAACAAATCTTAGTAATTTTTCCTGAAAAAAAATCGCCAAGACCTATATAAGAGTATTCACTATGTTCGTTACTCTTAAAACCGACACTTACAGGTATCATCGTAGAATCAATATAGTAGTTCGCTTAGCCAGAAAAAATTTGCACACTGCATGGTAAAGAAATGAGTTAAATTTAAAAAGAACTTACAGCTATATCGATGTTGAGCAGCTTGCCGAGCATTTCGACTTCGAATTTGAGGTTAAGTTTGAGAGAGGGGTCCTTGTGGATCTCACAGAGGATGCTGAGTATAGCCATGGTCCATGGGTTGGGTGGCTGGAACACTACACTCTTGGCTGCACTCTCCATCACCTTAGCCACAAATGGAATCACAATCGTCATCTCGTTGCCGGCCCTGACAAACGCTTCCAGCAGTAGACTGCGCAGGTCCAGACTCCTCTGCAGAATGGGTTTGTCCTTAGCGAGGGTGATAATTCCGAGCCACTTGCCCAAGTTCTTTAGTAGCGCCCGGTCAGAGAAATTGTGCATGACCACCTTTTCCGAAGTCAGTAGCACCTAAAGAAACCTCAACGACAGTCAATCGTCTCCTCTTTTCTAGTTTAACATTTGCTCACTGTGTTCACTTGCTCTGAAACTCTCTCTGGTGCGTGGGCCAATAATTACCTTCAGTAGAAATTCAGAGGAGAATAAGGTGAATTGACGGACAGGTTAATTGTACCTTGATGTTTCGGATGGTCTCTGTGAGGACCATTTGGGAGAAAGATTTGACATCGAAGCAGTCAAGGAAGGAGGCGTAGAGGGCGTGGAAGTTGGTCTCCATCGTGATCCTGCTGACCACGAGGTAGCGCGACAGCCACGGGTAGAATTTGTCATTCGTCACAACTCCACGCAGCTCCTCAACCTAATACACATCACTCCATTACTGACATGGACACTTACAATCGTGCTCTTACACAGCTTTTTAACTCTCCCAGACTTGAATTTTGGTGTTGAAACCTTTAACGCTAATTTAAACACAGAGGTGAAGCTGAGCTTCGCAAACACTTGCGAGAAAACTACCAAAAAGCAGCTCTATCAAGTGAAATATTAAAAATTAGAAATAAGTATCGAATTAGCAAAAACTCGGCTGTGTAGGATTCGAATCTGCGACCAAGCAAATTCGAGTATCACGCACTAACCACTCAGCTATGGAAGCATACATTACTTGATACATCGATTTGTAAAATTTCCGAAATCAAGCTTTTTATCATTGTACTGAGTTAAGTTTGGGTTGCTTATCTCATAGAGTAATTTCGAACAGGGTACACCGTCTGCTCGTCACGCTATCTTATTTTCGGCCGGATAGATTCGTGCAACTTCTTAGTCTAGTACCGATCCTAATCTTACTCTTACTACTACTAGTCTCAGGGTGTTTAACTAGTCTCTGCTAGGCTCAATAGATCTAGAGTATACTGGTATTGTTGGGGCTGCTGAAGTACTCGGGAGAGGCAACTATTTTCTAAGTTAAATTCAAATCTCTCTGGTGCTGAAATTACAAGAAATTTCAGCTTTTACAAATAAGTGGGTAGTTAGTTAGATGGATTGTGATTGGTTAATATTAAATACTTTACAATGGTTAAATGTCTAAATTATAAATAAAGAAACATAGTTTAGATCAGGTTCCACCCATCCGGGGTTTACAGAATTTTTGAGTTTTATCTCTTTTCTTCTGCAATTGAAGGATGGATGATGAACGTTGGTATGTGGCGAACATCATTTTCTTTTTTCCCTGTTTCCTGGAGAAGAGAGGTCCTTGACTAGAACCAATGTCTTAAAGAAGGTCCAGGACGCTGAAGTTAATCTTCTTTGTCGTTCAACAACGAATGTGATCCCCAATGAATGAAATCGTTTTAGATTCCAGAATCCAAAATGCTTTGCTATGTCATTTCTGCTTGCATTTGTGGAGGGTTGTTTGTGATCAACCTCGTCTGGGAATGGCGTGAAGTTCGTGTTTGGAAGGGATGCCTTGTTACTCGGATCTGTACGTATACTTGAACATCGAGGTGGTCATTGGTCTGGTTCAATGAAGTCCTTTGCTGCGAAGTCAAGTCGTACTCTAAATCCTTTGAGTTGTGATTGTGTGTGGCATGTCGGTTGTGGTTGGTAGCCATTCTTGTTCAGGTTGTGATGGGATCGTCTAGTCTTTGGATGTTCGTCTTTGCTGTTGTGTGTGATCTATATACTGCATACTATGATTTACATCTTATAATTGTTTGTTAATTGTTTTTTAGTTATTATTTTGGTTAATTGTTTTCACAAAAGCTTTTTATTTTAGTTTAGTTATTTTGAAGAGTTACTCACCCTTGAGTACCTCTTATTAAAAATAAAAGTGTGGTCACAAAGCGTGGTGTAGCGCGGTGGGTTAGGCCGGCTATAGAGCATGCTCAGGACGTCCTCTCTGGTGGGTTAGGCCAGGAGTGGGAGTATGATTTCGTGCTGTTTCTTTGAGGGGTCCTTTTTTCAAAAATCAAATTGTTTTTGGTATGGGTTTGTCTTTCGACTGTTTTGTGTTTTATTATTTCTTTCGTTGACTTTATAATAGTCTTCAAAAGAATAAATTATCCAGTTTTAAGCTGGGTTAATCCGGTTTGGGTACCGTTGGTGTTCTTTTCTTATTCATGCTGTTATTTTATGATTTGTGGTGTTTAGTCATTTGCGTTGGTTAGTTTAGTATAGTGTATAACTCCATTCCAACCGGGTTAAAGGAAAATTGGAAACTTGTTATCATTAGTTAGTGTTGTTGTTATTGAAAACTTGGAACATAAAATCATTATTTTAAACAATTCTTCGTGGGCGAGCTGTGCGAGTATGGATAGAATTCTTGAGCGAATGAATGAAAAGGTTAGTACTGCTTTCACAATTTATAAATTTACTGCTTGAATTTTAATTTTACTACATTTGGGGAAATTTGAAACTATATATTTTCATCGTATAAAAGTTTACTGCTTAGTGGGGAAGAATTTATAGATTAATTTATTACATTTGTATGAATTTTAAGTCATCGTATAGTGCAAAGGGTTTAGATTATTTGAATTGTTTTAGCAAATAAGTTTAATGAATTGTAGTTTCTAAAAGATTTATTTTTTTGTATTTTTTCATTTTGCAGATGATGGTGATGAGAAGGCTAGAAAAATGAAATAGAACACTATAGAAAATGGTTAGTAACTTTATATTTATTAGTGAATGTAATTGAAATATACTTATCTAATCTTCGGGGGAAAAGCCATGGGGGAAGAGGTTTTGGATTAGTTCAGATGATGTTAATAATTTAGCTAATATACGAATGATATTTTTAGTTTCTAGCAGTGGCCAAAGCAATTGAAGTTCTTTGATGATATTTAGTTCTTCGGTGCCTACTGCAATCTCATGAGGTGTGTTTTGGATTAGGTTATAAAGTTTATGATTATATTTAGTGTTATGTATGAATTCGAGAATGGGGATTTCAATGGGTTGTAGGAATTCGTGCGGGATGAGCAAGGGTCGGGATTCTTTGTCCTGAAAAGCGTTGATGATGGGGCAAAATATATACATTTGGTGGACTGGGTCGTAATTACGGAGGATGCCGTGAAGGTTAGTATTTTTTATACAATAAGTGAAATTAAGAAAAAACGGTGATGTGTACTTTGAGTTGATGAATTGAAAACGATGGTGGGGTTGTCGTGAGGGTGTTATGTAGGTGAAAATGATTTTGTAAAAAACGATAATATGTGTAAGTATGTGTTTGTTTAGTGCGTAACATAATATCGTGGGAGCAGTGCAGATCTCGTTCCTGTGGTGTAAGAAAGTGGAAGGTTAGTGTAAATAAATTAAATTTATCTTGGAAGCTTTGATAGGCTTGTGTGTCAATGAGGGCTTCGGAAATGATGTGATCGTGTTTTTTGTCAAAAATATTAAGTGTAAATAAATATGGTGTTGAGATGAAAAATTTCTCTGTTAGTTGTGGGTTAGCAAAGCGGTCATCATCTAAAAATTGGTCTTAGTTAGGGCGTATGATGTTGTGATCTTAATAGTCAATAGTGAAGTCGTTAGCGCGAGGTGCGGTGAATTCTTTTAGTAGTTTTTTGAATCCTATATATGTGAATTGTCGTAGCGTTAGTGCTGTTGTTAATCTGTATAGCATATCTTTACATTGATCATTATCAGTTATGTTGTTATAAAGTGGTAGGTAAAGAGGGTTAGTATAGTGATAGTATGATGCCCAATGAAGTGTTGGCATTAAGACGTATTCGTCAACAAAATTTTTGGTGTCGTCATTAGTAGTAGGTGTATTCAATGTGTATTGAGGGAATGATGGTAGATTAGTTTGGAGAAATTGTTTAGTATTTTTATGTTTTGGGTGATCAATATTATCTTTAGCTGTGCCTGGTCTGGTTGTGAATGCATGATTTGGAAATTTTCGTTTGAAAGTGCGATAAGCTCTGTTAGTGCTAGTGGATGTTTCTGTGGAGGTGGATGATTGGGCTAATGATTGGGTATAGTATGATAGTGGTGTTGGTGTTGGTGGGCCGGATGATGTTGTCATGGATGATAGGTGATTTATGGTAAGAGTATGGGGATGGATAATTTGTTGTTGGAGAGTAATATAATTTTCCAATTCGGGGGAGATTTGTGGGATATCTGGGGAATTGTTGGCTGATCGGTCAGAAAGGGATGAACTATAGGTTGGGGTAACTTGGGATGCATGAGAGGGAGTGGAAAGGGATGGTAGTGGTTGACTGGCGTTGATGGGTCTAAAAGGGGGTTGTGAAAAGTTTGAGGGGTTGTTTTGGGAGTAGGTGGAAGGAGAGGGTTCGGAGTCGGCAAATTCGTCGGGAGTTTCAAGGTCTGAATTGTTAAATTGTGAATTTGTGTGAAAAACTGAAGCGTCTGAGTTAGTGTCTGAACTCGTGCTAGATGGTATGTTAATTACAAAATCAGGTGGGGGGAAAGCGAAAAGTGGTATAATTGGGACTGGGTTTTGGAGATTTGCCGGGTGGGAATTTGAGCGGTGGAGGGATCCAAGTTGTCTGCTCATCGTGGGCTAAAAAATGATTATTTTGAGATTGAAAAGTGGTGGTGTGGGGTTGTTCTATAATTTGTTCGTATGTACTATCATTTTGTGAATGATTTGTCGTTATATGTTGAATAGGGCTGTGTATTGAATGTGGTCGAAAATTGGGGTTATTTGTGATTGCTAAATTTCGAAAATTTCTGGGAACTAAAGATAATGGATGATTTTGTGGTAGGGCTGGTACTTGTGGTGCTGTGGGGACTGTGTCTACATTATTGTGTTCTTTGTTGTATGTATTTGGTCTTGTGGCTAGTTTTGTATTATATTCTTTGATTTGTGCGTCTAAAAGTATTTTGTTTATCGATGATGAAAATATTCCAAAAAATCCTGCAAATAATATGCGTGCTACACTTGCTTGGCGGTTAACTTGTGTGTGTATAGCGCATGTATTATAGATTCCTGTCAGTAGTGAGAAAAGAAATCCTATAAAATTAAACATAGCGTATAAATTAGTCAATCTTTCTAAGATGTAGTAGGGCCATCCTAAAAAAGCGAGTATTTCGTTTTTTAAGGTTAAACTGAAAATATTTATGGGTGAAATATCCTGTGGTCTGTATTTTTCGCCGTTTAAATATATATATACTCTTTAATGTCTTTAAAATGTCCGCTGAAATCTTGAGTGTATATGTCTGCAAATCCTGCGGTTTCTGCAAGTTTTCTTAAATTTTGATCGATTGATTGTCTTTGTATAGTATCCATTTGTGTGAGTAGTTCTTGGAATTGTTGTGTTCTAAAATGGTGTTGTATATCAGATTTAGAATAAATTCCAATGGATTGTAGATCTATATTTGGGTTTCGAGCAATGGCTCTTA